ATAAATAATTAAGAACTTTATACTTAGACATAATAGTATATTAAAATATAATTACTAAAGTGCACATACCAGAATTGACTCTTTAACTTCATCTGGATCAATGTGTTGCTTCCCTTTCCTCCGGTACCATCTCATGTATTCTGAATTCGGATCTAATAGTCCGACCTGTGGAGGAGTAGGTGTGAAGTGATATGCATATCGATGACCCCAATGCTCTAATGCTGGACTTAATATTGTAGCCCAGTCATCTTCAACCTTACCACGTAAGGTCAATGCATGCACATTTGCAGGAGTCATTGGAGGATTTAGAATTGGTTGTTGGCAACCAAATTGCCTCATCACCCTATCTGGCTGATGCCATTCACAAATACAGAGACAAAGTAAGGGGATTACAAAACCCCAAATCTGCATCCCCTATGTGCAGTCACTGGGCATCTGTTCAACAAGGGGATATGGTTGCCAAATAATCTGTAAAATATAATTTTTAATTAGTAAATATTAAAATACAAATAATTTAGATAATTTTTTTAAAACTACAAAACGTTAATTACTTACAGATTTCCTAGTAGTACGATCAAAGTATTTGCGATAAAATTTTATATCATCGTTCATACTTATTTTGGTCGCTGTGTTTGACCACCTGAAAAAACAAATTGTAAACAATTAAATAATGTTTAATTAACTGATTAATTGTCAAAATGTAAAGTTTCAAATTTGCTCGTACCTTAAACCAATTGGACTGCCTGGAGGAATAGGTGGCAATGGTGAAGACAGAATGGTTGGGAATCGTTTCCATGCCCATAACTGTAATAAAAGGCTAAATCCACCGCAGGTTGGGGTTTTGTAATCGATTGAGGTGCATAAATTCCGATACAAACATCCAAGCACAGCTGCACCCCATGCATAAGTCCTAATAATACCAAAGCCGCGCAAAAACACCAACCACCGTAAGGACATATACGACGAAGATCTATCAGGAACAAGCACTCCTCCTAGATAACGTAATATCCAGGCTCTAGCATAACGAACCAACACATGTACATCATCTATGTCATCAGCAATGTCCCCAAAGTTTGCTGTCAACCAAGATAGCTTCACGCGATGTCCTTTAATTTCAGACTGCGGTGGAACAACCCCTAACAACTCCTCAGCTGCATAAAATCAAACAAAAAATTTAACTATTATTAATATAAAAAATATACTATAAATTTACAAATAAGTTAAAGTCAAGTTATAATTACCCAATCCCAATATATTTGCACTGCCTCGAGATAATACCGGTTCACCGTCAACCGGAAGACCAACAAGCATGCCAACGTCTTGAAGAGTAATTGTGCACTCTCTGAATGGCATGTGAAATGTGTGTGTCTCTGGTCTCCATCGCTCTACCAAAGCCGTTAACAAACCAGGACTAACTTTGATATAATTAAGACGCGCTATCCATCCAAAACCAGCTTGATCTAGTAACGGAATTATTTGTTGTGGAACTCCCGCAATTCCAGTGCGCGTTGGAGCAGCACGTCGTGCTATTAATCTCCTGTCATCTTCTCTGTTCCAAACATGTTATGACACATGTATATTTTGCAACGATAATAAATCATCGTCCACGGGTTCATATGTGACACGCATACCCCTAGAAGATGATGATGCCATCTATAACAAAATCTAATAAAATTAATTATTTTTGAACACATAATTTATTTTTTTAATTTAATTAACATGATATAATCAATACGAAAATAACACACTAACAACCTTAAAAAATATATGTAAATACATCAATAAATTACACATAATCAAAATATAGAATTTTAAAATAAATCACAATTATATCAATTTAAAATTGAAATATCATTTTTTATACACAAAAATAAATTAAATCAACTTAAAATTTAAATAATTTTTTTTAAAAATACATATAAATTAAACAGAATTACAATAAATCAATTTATAATTTCAATATACTTAATTTTGAAATAAATATAAATTACACAGAAATAAATTAAATCAATTAAAATTTTTAATATAATTATTTTTTAAATAAATATCAATTACAAAGAAATAAATTCAAT